ATATATATATATATATATATATATATATATATATATATATCACACACACACACGTGAGAGGGAGAACGTGTAACTGTGCCAGACATTTTCATGAAATTCAAATTTATATTAAACTGCTCTTGAATTACAAATTCTGAACCTTGGTGTTTTTTCATGTTGCCACAACATATACTGATATACTATAAAATTGACTAATACTAATATACAAATAATTTTAGTTACTTTTCACTGATGTGAGTGTCAACATGGTGCCCAAAGAGTTTCTACAAAAACTGAGAGTGGCAAGCTGCAAAGGTTTGGAATTTAGTATGGGCGCTAGGGACATGTCCCTACCAATATCCAGAGGCTACATGTTGTCTCTAGCAAAAATGAGTCCAGGTTGAAATGCTTTTCCAAAAATTGATTTTGTGGTGTTCAGAATGGTTTTGTACGTGATGTATTTTTTTGTGTTTGTTTTCTGTTCAGTCTGTAAAAACGACAGTGATGCAAGTCAGCGATGCCAGGCAATTAAAAAAAAATTCTGCATGTATAATGTGATTTGTTAAGAGGTGCTGTGTGACATACACCTAAAATGCAATTGAGTATTTATTGTAGTCTTGAATAATTATGCTGTATAACTTCAAGACTCTTCAATAAATGAAAATAAAAATCACAAAATAATGACATCATTCAAATGGAAACCAAAGTGATTCTCTTTCAGGTGTAGGACCATGTACCAGTTTCCAGTCAGAGGGTTGGAGAAGATCCGCAGAACAAGGCGAAAAGTGAAAAACATTCTTGGAGAATTTGGACTTGAAGAATGTCTTGGTTTGGGCCAAGTATGTTTGTTTTACAATGTACAATTAAAAATAAAAGAAACTACAACTGAAATCCCATGCCCATGTGTATTAAAATAGCCTTTTACTTAATGTCTTTACATTTGAAATGTTATTTCTCTTTTTTGTTTATCAGGAGCTCCAGGAATTTTACCCCGGGGACAGTGTTTTTGATGCCACAGACTGGTGCAGTTTATCTGATGGGTTTGACGGCCGGTGGAAAAAGAAGGTGAACTTAAAATGTCACTTTAGTAAATTAGCTTAGCTTTACTGAGCAAAAATTTTTTAAATAATGAGCATCTCTGAATATTGAATGGCAAATGGCTGAAATTCTGTTTTCCATCCTCAGTGGGAATATCGGACACGAGGATTGTGCTGCACCTTATGCGAGTTCTCTGCAAGATCCTGGCATGCCTACAAAACCCACATTCAGCGCTACCATGATGAAGAAGAGCGTTTGTGCAAGCTTTCAGCATGTACTTCTTGCCCATTTATAGCCCCCCCCAGAGTGGTCTCCAGGCACCTCAAATTGTTCCATGTTGAGGACACAAAGTTAGAAACTCCGACTGTCCCACAGCTGCCTCCAAGGGCTGTAAATGGCACCACGTTTCAGTGCCGAAGATGCCATATACAAGATACTCTTTTGTATAGTGTGAAAAAGCATGTTCTTCTTTATCACTACACTTCCACTTTGAATAAATACGCCGGGCAGAGATCGGAGCGGGAACTTGTGGCCCTAGGAGACAGTTCTCAGAAATTCTACTGCAAAAAGTGTTACGTATCAGCTGAGACATCCGAACACTTGCTGTATCATCTTCTAACCTCAGAAAAGCACAAGGAACTGGATGTTCATATCAGAGCTCTAATTTTTGAAACAGAAAGTAAGAAACAGTACCCTGCTCTAGCAATGAAAACTCAAAGCACTCCTGCTGTCTTGATGATGAAAGATCAGTCAGCGGTGACCGCTACACTGGCCACTGGTGGAGTTACAGGACCAGGAAATGGTGGTTCTGCAGTCATTGCTGCCCCTGGAACCAGCCAGGCGTTTCTCCCAACTCAAGCTTCTGCTCTGGTTCAGCTTGCAAGCGCTGAGGCGAAGGGTTTACTGAGGCCTGGAGTCCCACTGTCTTTTCAGAACACCCAAATGACCAGACCTGCCATGCCTCTTGCTCCTAGCGGCATTCCTCCCAATCAGGTGTCTGTCAGAGTAGGCCTACCTAGCCAGTCACCACTGCAACCAGTTTCCCGCCAAATTGTCTTACCGCCAGGTGTTTGCCTTAATGTACCTGCTGTTAGGCCACCGGCACCTCAGTCCCTCCCTGCTAATCCAAGAATGCCCCTAAATCAACCCGCTTCTGGAGGCACCATGATAACCTCTCAATCCCTTCTGAGCCATTTGATCCCCACTGGCAACAAAGTCGACGGCTTGCCCACCTACACTCTTGCACCTTTGCAGGTCCTATCGGTCCAAGGAAATAACTCCCAAGGAGTCATTAAACCCCCCTTGCCTGCATCCCAGAACAACCCACTTGTACAGCAAAACAAACAAAACAGCTCTTTGCCGGCCCCCAAGCAAACCAAGAAGTGGATCACGTGTCCTATTTGTAATGAGCTCTTCCCGTCTGATATCTATGAGTCCCATCCAGAGGTTCACAAAGAGGCAGCTCAAATGCCCAAGATTGGTCTAGCTGCTCGTGCTCCATTTTTGAAAAAGATGCCAGACAAGACGGTGAAATGCCTGACATGTAAGATCTTGATTTCAGAAAAGGGAGTCTTTGAACACCTGCTTCATGGCATGAACTGCTTATTCTGTTCGGGGCTCTTCTACTCCATCAAGCAGCTTGTCGACCATATCCAGATGGAACATAATGTGAACCGAAAGAGCAACTGTGACTTCATGAGGCGTGAATGCCGACTCTATACTGATGATTCGGGGAATCTGCTTTTCCCTTACTTCGACATCAGGACCACGGCTCCTAAACTAATTATGGGTGAAAAGGAGCTCAATCTTGCATTGGTCACAAGCTCCCTCGATCTGATCTTTGTGAAGATGTTGCCCAACAATCCTCTGGCTATTAGCAAGCTGTCCACACCATGCAACATGCCCACACCCAAGCCTGACAGCACAGAGTGCCCCTTCTGCTCAGAGAAGCTTCTGAACAAGGAATGCTATCAAATGCACCTCAAAGAGAAGCATTTCATTGTGCCCACTCTGCATGCTATACTTAAAACCCCATCGTACAGATGCCTCTACTGTGGTGGTGTGTACACTGGGAAAACCACTACCAAGGCCATCATTGTCCACTTGGCTAAATGTCGCAGTGCACCGAAGAGTCTCAAGGATAGTGATAAACTGAATTTAGGATTAGCTGTTACTCCTAGAGCAAACCGAGCAGTTGTATCATACCCAGCTCATCCAAAACAAATCACTGGTCCAACCCCGACTGCAGTTCAAGCTTCTGTTCCTGCCATGCAGCTACCAGAAACTGAAGCAGAGGTGCAGAGCAAGCTGCGCCTTGAAATAGCCTTCAGAGAAGCTATGGAGGCGAATAGGAGAGAGCGGGAGGAACGGTTGGCAAGGAAGAGAAAACTTGAGCGAGATAGGTTGGCTGGTCTGACCGTCCCCTCACCTGAAGCAGTAGTCGATCCTTCCGTACAATTAGCATTGGATCCTACCGGAATGGAGTTGAGCTCTTTTGAAGAACGTCGTGAGTTTGTCAATAAGTACTTTAATACACAGCCTTACCCACTCAAGAAGGAGATTATTGCCCTGAGTAGCCGCTTGCTGCTTAACAAAACTGACATTGCTTGCCAGGTTAGCTCAAAGCGTACCAGATGTCTGAAGAACATACAGAAAACTAAGGCTGTGGTACTTTTAGGCTTCAATATGACAGAGCTGATGAAATTGAAGCATAATCTCCTCATCCCAGAGATTGAGCCGGAGAAGTTGATCACCGTGACAGACACCGAGATGGAGGACCTCCAAGAGTAGCTTCACATTAGTAATAAAGACAAGGAGGAGTTGAAAGCAAATTGTACTGAGAGCCTAAACCGTTACGTGTTCCTTGAAACAATGCAAAATATGTTCCATTCTCGCCGAAACTAGTGTTAAACTGTTAACCAAGAAGAACTTGAGAGATTGAAACAAGCGAAAATGTGTTTGATTTTAGGCTGCTGTTCATAAACTTGTGTGAATACTTTTGTTTTGTTTCATATTAACCATTTTAAAGTAAATACATCCATTACTTTTCACTGAGGCATCACTTCACGCAAGGTCCATGTAAAAATAGATGTTTGTAGTCCATTTATAGCTCTAGGGTTGAAAACGTTTGTGTGATTATACTTTTCATATTTGCCAAATGTCATAAACTATTTTTTTGTGACATTCTTTATATATTTGTTGGAATGTAAGACTTTATGAGGTTACCTGTTTCCATTTTGTTTTAGACCATGTATCTTTCTGTTAATCAGTTCCATTTGTTAAATTTCTATTTTGCTTGCCTTATACTTTTATAAATATGGTATATTCAAACTATTGTTTTGATCAGATTTTTTGCCAAACAAAATTTCTCTTATAATATGAAGTAATGCTGCTTATCCAAGTGACATCCTCTCAACTGATACTTGTTGATAAGAGTGGAGCTTTGCAGAGGAGTTTGATTTGGATGCAGTTAATTTCAATTGTATTATGATTGTAAGCATCAGGATATCTTGTAAATTCTTGAGTTCCTATTTTATTCCTGTTCATTATAAATAAAATAGATAAAATAAAACTGTTCAGTATAGTAAACAATAACATTCTAAGCTTACAAAAAAGCTGTGTAAATAAATTAAAGCATATATACATACAAGTGCACTTCTTTCAATTGTATGTTCATGTGTCGTAATGGCCCTTGTCAAACCTCAAGCTTAATTGTCATTATCAGAGAACAAAATGTGTCAGTTAACCAGTATGTAGTTTATTTAAACTAGTATTTATTTACAATACACAAATGGGGAAAATAAATATACCTTCATGGTTGTGGGCATAAATCTAATTTGAAGAACTAAAATGTTCTCAATATTTACTTGCTGACACATTCTTCATGCTGCCAGTTAAATTTTAAGAGTATTCTGTCGTAAGATATATGACTAAAAAACGCTCTATGGATATGTTTTGACTAGTAAATATATTGTTAACATTTACATGTCCGTAGACATTTTTTTATTTTTATTTTTTGGATTTATCAAGATATACACTTTCCTTCATACATTAATACACCTACATTGAACCTAAAATGTTGAAGATAAAAGTCCATGGACAAAATTTCTTTAAAGTTTTTCCATTTTTAAGTACCTTTTTGCTTTCTCAGCTTAATGTTAAATGGTCTTAAATTAATGTAAGATTTAAATGTTTAAATGGTACATTAATTTTTTAAAGTATAAACATTATAACATAAAATGAGTTCACAATGGCTGAATACATGGTGATTATAAAACAAATAGCAAAGTATTTAACATTTTGCCATAACACTTGATTGATGTGCATATTTGTTTGTGATTAAGGGCAAATAAGTGAAGTTGACGCATCTTAAGTGTAATTCCTCAATGACTCTTTGAATACATTATAATATAATAATAATAATTTAAAAAAATTATCTATTGTAGACTTCAGAGTGTTCATCATAGGGAAAAGAGAATCTGAAAACTGCACAGTGGCCTGCCAGAAACAGTTGTTCAAAATATAACAGAGAAAGAATTCAATTTATAGAATCATTAAGACATTGTCATTTAATTGGAATTAATGACCTGTCAGTAATAAGTATATTTTAGAAAGCAAAGAAAGAGACAAGGGTTTATAAGGGAAACAGTATTGTTCAACAGAATATAGGCCAGTATCAAAGTTTTTTTTTAAATTCCCAGTCAACGCTTCACACTCCTGTCCAGTTGGTGGCGGTAAATGCACCATCTTAGCTGTTTTGCCACGCGCAATAAAGCATCCAAAAAGAAGAAGAAGACCAGAGAATATGAAAACACTCTCTAAATGACATAATGTTGCACACTCCTGTACAGTAGGTGGCGGTATGCACCTAAAAGTTGTTTGCAATCCGCCATTAACCAATAGAAGAAGAAGACTTCAGCTCTAATAAACGGACAACACACACTTAATCTAAACGACATGCACCTATGAAGTTGGTTCGCAACCCGCCATGAAACCAAAAGAAGAAGAAGAAGAAGAAGAATCTAAACGACAAGGTTATTTTAAATTGTGAGGTAAGGTTTACATTCCCCTTTAAAAGTTTTTCTCCTTTTTCATTGCTCTAATATTTCACTGAAGAAAACTTCTGTTGGCGTTAGCTATTATTTTCTAGAATTCCGAGCTAATTGCTAATGAGAAACCAACGTGTGAAATGTAAACAATTAGTATCGCATCCTATTTTATAACGTTTGAACAGTTTAGTAAAACAATGCGTGCGGTTCTCAAGCAAATGAATTTGACGACAACCTCGTGTGTCTTTTTAGAAGTGTGTTTGGATATCCCTCAAAATGTCGTACATGCTCCCTCATCTTCACAATGGCTGGCAAGTGGACCAGGCTATTTTATCAGAGGAAGACCGTGTGATTGTTATACGATTTGGCCACGATTGGGACCCTACGTGTATGAAAATGGATGAAGTGTTGTACAGCATCGCCGAAAAGGTATTACAGCGTCCTAATATTCAACCACCGAACTGAACGTGAACACGTCAGATCAGCTATTATGTGGTGTATGAATATGTTTAGCTGATCTTTCATGACACCAATGCTTTGGGAATAATTATGTATATTAGTGTTAATCTATCAATGTTTTATGTCTAATATCACGTGTTTCCTCAGGTGAAGAATTTTGCAGTCATTTATCTTGTGGATATCACAGAAGTGCCAGATTTCAACAAGATGTATGAGTTGTATGATCCTTGCACAGTCATGTTCTTTTTCAGGTAAGTCTTCAGGTAGTATAATGACTACAGCAGGTCAATTTATCCATTGTATTCAGCCAAGTCAGTCATCAGTTCAACATATGATCATTTATTTAAAGGGATACTCAACCCAAAAATTAATAATCCACGTATTTAAATGTTATTGCTTTAGTTGTTTTATATATATATATATACTCATTTGTTGCAAATTACCATAGAAAATATCTTTAGCACTTAATTTTTCTGTAGGTAGGAAGGCCTTGTCTTGTAGCTTTGCGACTATCCTGCATAAATTAAAAGGTTTTTTGGCTTATAACAATGTGTTAATTTGATAGCCATAATACTGCATGTAACTTTGCACAGACAAGGTTAGTAAGTGATTGTATCACATCAGTCTTGTGGCAAGTCTTTTGTAACGGTTTCTCACTTTTTATATAATTATTTCTGTTGTATGCCACAGCTGCTGTCAGTAAAGTTTGTCAAATGTGCAATTGCATAATATGTATTGTACGTGGAACATTCTAGACGACTTGCTTGTTTTCTTCCCCAAAAGCACAGAATGTAGAGTTGTCTCCACCTACTGGTGAACTCTACAAATTCTTTAGTATTGTGGATTAAAGGGTTAGTTCACCCAAAAATGAAAATTATATAATTAATTACTCACCCTGATGTCGTTTCAAACCCGTAAGACATTTGTTCATCTTCGGAACACAAATTAAGATATTTTTGATGGAATCTTAGAGCTGTCTGACCCTGCATAGACAGCAACGCAACTGAAATGTTCCCAAGTCCAGAAACGTAGCAAGGAGATCTGTAAAATAATCCATGTGACATCAGTGGTTTAACCGCAATTATGCGAAGCTACGAGAATACGTTTTGTGGTCAAAAGAAAAAAAATAACGACTTTATTCAACAATTCGTCTCCTCCGCATCACCCTGGTGCCATTTTGGAGAATATCTGCTGGACGTAAACAACGTATGCTGTTCTGTGTCAGCTGCGTCACACGGATACGCTGTTTCCGTTCAGATCAAATCACAACAATGTAAAAAACAGATCCGGCGTGATGCAGCTGACACAGAACAGCAATTGTTGAATAAAGTTTTTTTAAATTTTTTTTATTTTGCGCACAAAAAGTATTCTCGTAGCTTCGTATAATTGCGGTTGAACCACTGATGTCACATGGAT